TTCGGGCTTGACATGTCTGCATCCACTCATCATTCTGCATACGATACTAGAGAGATGCTTGTACGCGGTCGAAACGCGCTTGGCGGCTGGTGTATCACCGTTGATAGGTGGGCGAGGTGCCTTCAGCAGTGCTGAATGCTTTGCACTTGCCACCGAAGGTTTAGAACCCTCGGTCCCATCGTCATAATCATCGTATGCTGGTTCTGGTCCCGCAACATCATCGAGCTCGTCGGCGAGGTTCCTCGAAAGGGACCTGGTCGCCCCGCTCAGCCCCGACGATAGCGTGGCCGTCTCCGGCGTCGCTGCGCCTGGCTCTGGAGCCGGCGTCTTGTCTTCGTAATCTTCATAATCGTGGGCGTTAGGACCGATGTCCGCTTCGTCGTCGAAGCTCACTGAAAGCTCGGTGGCGGCTGCAAAGCGCGCAGCCGGGCTTGAACTCTCGTTGCGAGCCCCGCCAGACTTGGCAGGCGTAACTGGTACCGTCGGTTGTCCTTTCGCCATGTTTCTTGTCTTTTTCTTGTTCTTCTTCTCTTGGTAGCTCGTAAACTGGAAGGCCATACAAACAGCTCACAATGGTCACACTCTGTTCCCGGGTCGCGGCACCAGTTGTGGTGTTGGAAATCCCACGTGAACTTTAGCTACAGATGTAGTTAGGATGTTCCCACAACAATACGTCTACTAGGATAGTAAACGATCGTTCGGGCGGACCTGAAGACCCCAGTTCTGCCCTTGCACCGGGACAAACTGGACCTTGTAAACTACTTATATAGGCCAACCAGTAAAATAAGAACACGCTACTAGCACGAGCAAAGCTAGCAGGTGTTTTGAATCCTCGTGGTCCCAACAGCGGAAGGGTACCAGGCACGGGTAAGCCTTTTACGAGGTCACCGAGTGTTCAACACTCGGTTGGAAGAATAAAAGGGAGGCAATTCAAGCACTCCCAGTCGTGCAAATAGGCAACAGTAAGCCGTCACGTAAAATCCTCCCGATAATAATCGGCCAATACACAAAGTCTCTTGGCCTTGCCGGATGAACCCTCGCTACAGAGCTTCGAGTTCACCGACAGGCATAACACACTCAAACAAGCTTGACCTGACGCTTACCTTGAAGCCGGACGTCGCTCTGTGTGCTTGAGTGGAAATTCTGTTCTGTATTTAAGCTTACCCTTTCGGGTCTATTCCTAATAAGAAGTCCTAATCAAGTATACAAATATCAAGTGAACAATGATCCGTTATGGATCTTCTTGCATGCCAAGCGTCGTCTGCACTGTCGCATGAGCATCTTTAACGGTCCGCGCCCTGTCCCAGACGGTGAACGTGTCTTCCAAAGGTCGCTGAGTATTCCGCGAACTCATCCCAACCGCCACTGAGGGTTCGTACCGTAGATGGTCCGCTGAATGCGAATCCGGCCAGTCCATTATTAATAATAAGGACAGCCTGGATTCAGTGACATAGGGCCGTATCCGATACTTGTTGAAAACTCGGAGGTGACGCCGTCGAGTCCCTTGCACCTTGGCGTCTCCGTACATCACCTGACCGAGGGTTCGTCGCTTGAACAACTTGGGCGGTGTCACGTCTTTGTCGACGGGTGATAATCCGCAACTACGGAGAAATCACTACACCACATAGGGGACGACGATGTCGATATGGCAGCAAACTACAGTCAAGCACTTCCCACTGACAACGAGCTGCATAACAGGGATGACCCATGGGATCCGACGACCTGGGCGGGGGACGTAGATGAACTCCGCCGTAGACTCATAGGGCTATCGATCCCGCATGACTTGAAATGTGAAATTCACGGGATTCTCCAGCAGGCAGCGCCTGACAGGCATGCTGAATTGTTAGCATTTCTGGTGAATACAGCATCACAACTAACATTTGCCGAAAGGGAATTGTTGGTTTAAGCGAACCTATCCAACGAGCATGATGCCTCCACCAGACAGCTCCTCCAGAAGTACCAAATCTTTAGAGCAGTGTTGCAACAATGGAAGTCAACGGTTCAACCAGCTCATAAGGGCGACACTATGCGAGATCGTATCGGAGATGGAGAAGTGAAGGACGAAGCGTCGTCTGCTTATGCGCCATCCTCGGAGGGCAGCCAGAGCAGCACGCAATGAGACGTCATTTTCCGCCGGCAAAAACATCCCCCACCCAAGGCACTGGCCAAAAGGGCGCACATTCTAACCCCCATGGAGTGTGAAGCCATTCGTCCGGACGTGAAAGCCAAACGAGACCATAATCCGCAACAAACACAGCCAGTGGTTTTATCAGCCAATCTGCAGAAGGAACCTGCGCTAGCAAACAAGCCGGTGAGAGAAGCGTGGCCGGAGCTCTGGCAACAAATGCGGTCGGTCTGGCCGTCGACGGCAAAATCTCCATATCCATTGGAACAGAGTACAGAGGAGGAATGGATCCACACGGCTCGTGAGGAACCTACCATGTTGCTTCACATGGTCCAACGCTTTCCATTTCCGGAGGAACTTATGGCTTCGCTCAGTGACAAGACGCTAATGGAGTGGACAGCTCAGTGGCGCCGCGACTGTGTTCAGGCTAGATTAATTGCGTACCGAAGCAGGTCAGAGGACCGGGGAACACTCCGATGGCTGGACGACTGGAAGGCACGGTTCGCAAGGGCCCCACCGAACAACCTTGCCCCTCTAGTGGATAGCAGTGAAGACTGGATCAAGCTCAGGAGTCGCAGTTACGGGAAAGATGAAATCCTGAAACTGTGCGACGTGGGGAACAAAAGGCGTCTTGCTCAACATATTCTATGTGCCTTAATCTATGAAAAAGAAATTCGAGCACTAACGGGACGAGAGAAGGAAAGCGAAATCGGAGCGCTGACGCGTCTGCAGCGTCACCTGGTGGCACTACAAAGCGTGACTGAATTTCGGTTAGCGTATTCTGCAGAAACGAACTCAGTGGACTGGTATGCTCTCGCGCGCTACTTTTCCAAGGCCATAGAGAAGAGGGCCGTTGAGCGCGATCATCCTTATTAAGGGTGGTACAGAACAGCAGTCACCTCGACAGGGAGAAAGAGGAGGTGGGGCTGCTGGAGATGTCTACGGGCGTCTGATTACCCTGCGAGAGGCAAGAGAGGGTGCAGGAAGGAAAAAGAAAGATAAGAAGGAGTCGTCGAGATTACAGACTCAGAACGTAAGGGGCTTAAAACAAGAATCCCGACTCAGGTGGTTGCGAGCGTGGAGGCGAACACCGGCCCGGGCAAGACCAATGGCTTGGATGCTGCAGGAAACGCATATCACCTCGAAGGATCAGGCGGACCAACTTGAGAAATCCTGGAAGCGACTATGGGGAAAACAAAACGAACAGGACAGTCTGCCGCTCTCGTTTTGGAGTGTGCACAGCTCCAAGACAGGGGGAGTTGCTATTTTGATTAACCCCGAGTACTCGAGTGTGGCAAAACCATGGAACACGGGCGAATGGAGCAACAGAATCATGGCGGTCCGGATTAGTGGACAGCTAGTGGTCAATGTATACGCATCCAACATCCAAGCCGAGAGAGAAATGATATGGAAACAAATTCGATTATGGAAGTGGCCTCAGTGTGACGTAGTGCTCGCAGGAGACTTCAACAGTGTACAGAGTCCCCCGTTGGATAGGTTGGGCGGTCAGCGAAGCGCTAAGCCGGAAAGTCCCGCATTCCGAGATTTGGTAAGTCACCTTAACTTGGAAGATGCTGTAACGCTAGAAGGAGAGGCAGCAGCAGATGACGAGGACATTGATCCCACTGAGTATTTCACGTACTGGGGAGCAGAATGTGCGAGTCGGATAGACCGTTTCTATGTTCTACCGCATGGACTAATCGAGTACATTGGGTGGAAGTTAGAGAACCAGCTGCGCCATCGGATCATCAGTGTGTATGCTTACACTTACGAAAAGAAGTGCAGTCGGGGAAACGACAACTCTCTCATAGGAAGGTAATCTATCCGATTCGGTCCTCACAGCCAGCTCGAGTACATGCGGAGCTTATGGAAGATCTCATCGAAAGCGGCGTTGGAAAACAGGTAACGAGCAGAACTTGGGATCGTACGGTGGAAGCGTGTGTCCACAGTATCAAGAGCGTGCAGCGTAGTGAGCGGAGAAGAAGAGAGCAAGCAAAACACCGCGTAAACGCTCAGAACAGAGCGCATTTACTCACCAGGAGAGAACTTTTGCGGGTCACAGAGGAAGAGGCCAGATAAGAATATGAGATCAGGTTGGGACAGAAGTTAGCGCGTACAATTGAGCAACTGCGCTGGGATTTCAAGAGAGTATCCAACTGGGAAAAAGATCAAACCATCACCGACATTTAGCACAATCATGGAGAGCAGTTTGACCCCACCATGAATATAGCGGATAAATTTGGGTTAGAATGGAAACCAACTCTTGGCCATGTGCACAGTCAAGTTCCGCTGGAGCATTTGGAAGGCGAGTTTGATACCTTTGTGCACATACCCGCGGAGAGACAAGTGACGCCAGAACAAAATGCATTCCTGACAGCAGAGATATCAGAGGAGGAGGTGCTAACGATCACAGCTCTCTACAGACACAAGGCAGCGGGACCGGATGGGTTGAACAATGACTTCTTCAAGGACGCCCAACCGGTACTCTTACCGGCAATGGTAGCACAAGGAAATGAATTGCTTAAAGGTGCAGAGCCTCCTCCTTCATTCCTCGAAGGACTCATCATCCCGTTGCATAAGAAAGGAGATTCAATAGATGCGATGGACTTCCGACCGATATCCTTGCTGCAGACAGGATACAACGTATACATGAAAGTCATAGCCGCCAGGATGCAAACAGTATTAGGGAAACCTATTGGGGATTCTCAGCAAGGTTTCGGGCACGGCCGTCAAATGATGCAGAATGTCATGACGATGTTGGCTATTATAGCCACAGCGAGGAGCGAACCGGATCTAGCAGCACGGCTAAGCAAGGTCATTCTCCTGCTGGACTTTCGGAAGGCTTATGACACGGTTTCTCGAGAATTTCTTTTTCTAGCGGTACTCAGATTTGGATTCTCGACAAAGTTCGTTAATTTGCTTCGACGGCTTCACAACGGAACCTCAGCGAGGTTCTTGGTAAATGGAGAGCTATCGCGGGCTCAATCGGTAGTGTCAGGTATTCGCCAAGGATGTCCAGTGGCGCCTCTACTTTTTATTATAGCAGCGGAGGTGCTCGCACTGGCCATGAAGCAAAATCCAGCATTAGACGGTATTGAAGTACCAGGAACAGGGGGGGGGGGCAGCGGCACCTGTCTCAGCCTTCGTAGACGACTCTACATTCTTCCTACAGCAAGCTCAACAGATTCCCCGAGTAATGCACATTGTGGACCAATTTGGCAAATTGTCTGGCCTGCAAGTTCAGCCAGCAAAACGTCAACTCATATTCCTCAACAAGGCGGTGGAAATGCTCCAGCTTAACGGACTACCCGTATTGAAACATGGAGATACGGTGCGGTACCTGGGTTACCAAGTAGGAACTGGAGCTTTAACAGACGTGAGCTGGGCAACTCGTATCCGTAACATCCAACGACGGCTAGCCACAGCTACCAAGTTAGCGACTAGTGTGGCTCATCGAGTGTTGATCTTGAACGTCATCATGATGCCGTCCGTACTGTTCACAGGGGCAGCGTTCGAGATGCTCCAATGGGCTGAAACCCAGCTCCGGAATATCCAAAAGCAGTTCTTGTGGAGACATAGTACTGCAACGGATAAAAGTCGTCATAAACTCAACCCGGGACTAGTATTTACACCGAAGCAAGCGGGAGGATTGGGTCTGGTATCGATTCCGATAGCATGTAAAACTCAGCGCGTAAAGCAGACAATTCTATGGCTAGTACAGCGGAAGGACACCAACTGGTACGCCTGGAAGGAGTGGGTATTGAGGGGAACGAGCGGAGAGTGGGGTGAAGTAATCTCACCCACCCAAGTGACAGCACGAGAGACTAGCACACTCAAAGGGAGGCCAGGTGAACGCATACAGCAACTAATCAGTAGCTGGATGCAGCCCGCGGAGGAACTTACAGCGGACTCCATCCTGGCGTACCAAAAGAACATAGATAGACTAGAAGCGGAATCATTAAGTTGGACGGTAGCGGAGAGATGGATCATCGAGTTACCAACCAAGCTGGACACCGTGGCGAGCGATGAAGCAATATTCTGGCCAGCCTTCAACTGGAATACCAATCCGTGGATTTTTGATAAAAGAGGTCACACCCTGAGTCGGAAAAAATTCGACAGGATACAAAGTTGCACGGTGGAAGCACTACATATCACACGTACCACTGACACTACCTACGAGTTCTCAATTCCCGTTGAGGGAGAAGCGAAACATCAACAAGCAAAGCTGCGTAGGTGGGGTCTAGCTATCCTACTCAGTGCGCCATCGATCGCAGTTGGGGCAGATCTTCAGGTGACGAACAGACGCAAATTGCGGTATCCACCCCCGCTCGTGAAGGGCTTTATCTGGCACATCTTGCAGGACGGAAGAGCACGAGGATCGAGAGCTTCCGGTACAGTAGCCGAAACAACAACAATCACGTTGGAGCAGATGCTAAATGGCATAACATGGATACCAGTAACATCGAGTCCAGCGGAGACCCAGCCACAGGAGGAATGGAGAGAGCTAGAACGATGAGGAGAGACTGATCGTCTAGTCTTCTCCGCGCACCCAAGGATTCACAGTTTTCCATGGACTGTTAAACCCAGCGTCGCAAACAAACATGTACTGGCAGTGTTGAAAACGCAACCCTTTAAGAAGTACAGAGGAGACACTGGCCAACTACGAGGGCACGTACAGCGCCTACAAGAAATAGTAGCAACGAGCGGGTGGCAAAAGGCAGCAATGCAGCAAACGCCGACGCAAGTCTGGTCCCACAAACACCAGCTCACTGAATACCAGGTATGGGTGAGCTATCGCGTAGCAGTCCGGCAGCTTAACTTGTATCATGAAGGCCGTCGTCAAGACAACAGCTGTCCGAAGCTACAAGCACGTGAAGGGACAAAGGAGACAATAGAACATATATTCTGGGAGTGTCCGTGCGCACAAGCCTGCTGGAGCAAGCTCCTGCAGCATTGGACAGGGGAATGCTGGCAACCAGGGAATATTGAGAGATTTCAGACGCAATGCGCTAGCCGCAAGGCACCGCAGATATCACAACACGTCCAGAAGCAATTGTGGCTTCAATTTCTGGATGCGGCGAAGGAGACTACGTGTAATGGGCCCTCTCAAGTTACATATGTAGGTAGTTTATAGGTTCTTTGTAGTGGCTCACACCATTACATAAGTAGGTAGATTTGCATTACAAAAGTAGGTGCAGCAGCACACGAGTAGCGTGTGCTGAACTGCCGTCACCTTATTGGTTGAAATATGGGGAGCCAGACCCATAATCAACCAATAAGGAGTTGACGTGTATTTGAGTGGTCCGGGCAAGCTGCCCTGGACCTAAATAAAAACAGAGTTGATTTTCCTTCAGACTAAGTACTTGGTTTCAGTATCACTGGTTTTGTACGCTTCCTCATCACTACGTGTAAGCAAGTAACGGACACCCAGGCCCGTTACACCTGGTAGCACTTTGTAGACCTTCCCTTGACCAAGTTCACGATGAGCCAAGGCATGACGTCTGAAACTCCAGGGCCGACCGTGGAACATGCTGCTTTCCCTCATCTCACTCGTGTCGAGTGGGAAGCCCTTCACCGCCTCGCGGCGGTGTCTGGTGAGGCTGTAATCGCGTCGCTGCTGAGCTCAGCGACGTCCGACCAACAACGCCAAGCAGCCCAAGAGTTCATGGAACGCGAGCTAGCCGATGCGAATCGGCGAGCAACAACTCCCGCGCGTTCCTCGAAAAATGATGTCGTGAAGCTAGAGACGTCTACCTACTCCGGTGAAGGAGCGAATCGCCTCCCGCTGAACCGGTGGTTTCGCGAGCTCGACATCGCGATTGCTTCGAGAATGATCGAAGCGCAAGGGTCAAAGGTCAATTTCTTATTGTCCCGGT